TGTTGTGGGTCTTCCAGTCGAGCGAAATTCACAACTCGACACGCCCGCACAGGGTTGCGCCGCAGCGGCTGCTGCTGCTGCTGCTGCTTTTGCTGCTGCTGCTGCTTCTTTTGCTGCTGCTGCTGCTGCTTCTGTTGTTGCTGCTGCAGGCAGTTCGTCGCATCCTTGCTGCTCTCGAGCAGCTGTGTAGCAGCAGCAGCAGCAGCAGCAGCAGCGCTTTTTGCAGCACGTGGAGAAGCAGCAACAGCAGCAGCTGTGTCTGTTTCCACAGTATCAGCAGCAGCAGCAGCAGCAGCAGCAGCATCATCAGCAGCATCAGCAAGATCAGCAGCAGCAGCAGGCGACTCGTACTCCGACTCGCTGCTGCTGCTGCTGCTGCTGCTGGTTGAAGGCTGATAGGAGGGATCTGCTGCCTCTCCTTCGTCTTCGTTATACCGCAGCGACTGCTGCCGCAGCGCCAGAGGCAACCCAGGCCAGCGGCGTTGCTGCTGCTGCTGCTGCTGCTGCTGCTGCTGCAGAGGCTTGCTGCTGCAACAGCTCAGCAGATGCCTCCCCGACCGAGAATAAGTTGCAAGACCTTCCTTACTGCTGCTGCTACTGGTGCTGCAGGTGCTGCTGGTATTGCTGCAGTTGCTGCTGCTGCTGCTGCAGTTGGTGCTGCTGCTGCTGCTGCTGCTGCTGCAGGAGGGTGTGTGGCTTCCTTTGGCTCGGCGGAGGCCGCAGAGCCTCAGCGGAAGAAGCAGACACCACCACGCTGCTGCTGCTGCGGCAGCAGCAGCAGCAGCAAAAACAGAAAATACAGAGATAACGATTCCAGCAGCCAGGCGGCCTACACACCGGACGAGACGGGCGGTCAAGCTGCGCTGCTGTTGCTGCTGCTGCTGCTGCTGCTGTGCTTCCGGTTGCTGCTGCAGCCGCAGCTGCTCTTCCTGCCGCTGGAGCTGCTGCAGCTGCTGCACAGCTGCGTCTTTCGCAGCTACGCGCTGCAGCAGCTGCTGCAGCAGCAGCTGCATCTCCTGCATTCTCGGCTCCCCTGCTGCTTGGGCCTGCTGCAGCTCCTGACGCACGCCACACACTTGTTGCTGCAGCAGCAACAGCTGCTGCTGCAGCTGCTGCTCCGGGCTGGTGTAGCTGCGGAAGCAGCGTACCCACAACCAACAGGCAATCAGCAGACAGCTCCAACGAATAAGCGAAACACCATGAGCGGCAGCAGCAGCAGCAGCAGCTGCTGCTGCTGCTGCTGCTTCCCAGGCGGCATCCGCAACCCAAGCCAGGTTGCTGCTGTCCTGGTTCCCAAAAGCAGCAGCAGCAGCAGCAGCAGGTGCAGCAGCAGCAGCAGCAGCAGCAGTAGCAGTACGTGGCTTGTGCTGCTGCTGCGTCAACAGGCTGAGGAGGGGAGAGAGGCCTCCACGGTGTAGTGCGATCTCTGCTGCAGCAGCAGCAGCAAGAAGACCGAATAGCTGCAGCCTAGCAGCAGCAACTCTTCTGGTTGCAGTCAATAGAAAAGCAGCAGCAGCAGCAGCAAAATATATTGCTGCTGCTTCTCCTCCCCCTATCCACTCGCCTACAGCTCTATGAAACACCTTCAGCTGCTGCAGCATAGCAAAGGATTCCTCTAGGCCCCGCTGCAGCTGCTGCAGCAGCTGCTGCATGTATGTACCCCCTTGTAGCTGCTGCAGCTGCAGCTGCTCCTGAAGCTTACCCATATGCTCCAGCTGCTGCAGCTGCTGCTGCATCCTAGCAGCAGCAGCAGCAGAAGCAGCAGACAAACGCACGGCCGCCTCCTCAGCCCGTCGTTGTCGCTCTGCGCTGTGTAAGAAAAAACAAATGTTGTCTGCATGCAGCAGCAGCAGAAGCAGCAACAGCAGCAGCAGCAGCAGCAACGGCAACAGCAGCAGCAGCGACAGCAATAAGAACATAGCAACACCAGCAGCAGTAGCAGCAACAGCAGCAGGCCGCAGCAGCTACAGCAGCAGCAGCAGCAGCAGCAGACCGCAGCAGCTACAACAGCAGCAGCAGCAGCAGCAGCAGCAGACCGCAGCAGCTACAACAGCAGCAGCAGCAGCAGCAGAAGCAGCAGCAGCAGCAGCAGCAGTTGTTGGTGGTGTGTACCTATGTGATTGATTTGTTCTCTGACGAGGGCAAATGTGCCGAAGTCCATCGCCTGCTGCTGCTGGCAGCCCGCCGTTTGTCTTCGCGTTATAGCAATGCACTGTCTGTACAGCTGCTGCTTCCTCTGCTGCAGCTGCTGCAGCTGCTGCAGCTGCTGCAGCTGCTGCAGCTGCTGCAGCGGCAACACAGAAGACGGGGAATCCCCTAGTATTAACTCCAACTTCTTCTCTCCTCTTGCTGCTGATGCTGCTGCTGCTGATGCTGCTGCTGCTGCTGCTGCTGCTGTTGGTGCAGCAGAATCTTCGTCTTCAGCTTCTGTGGATTCGGCTGCAGCTCTTGCTGCTGCTTCCTCCTCCTGCTGCTGCTGCTGCTGCTGCTGTTGCTGCTGCTCATAGCTCCCTTCCCAGTCCCCTTCCGACATTTGCTGCAGCTGCTGCAGCTGCTGCAGCTGCCGCAGCAAGTCGTTGAGCTGCACGCACGGATGTGCAGCTGAGGCATCTGCTGCAGCAGCAGCTGCTGCTGCATCTGCATCACCGACAGCAGCAGCGCCGCCTGTGGCTGCAGCCCAGCAGCAGGAGATGCAGCAGCAACACAAGCAGTAGCAACACAAGCAGCAACAGAAACAGCAGCAGCAACAGAAGCAACAGCAACAGCAGCAGCAGCAGCAGCAGCAGCAGCAGCAGCAGCAGCAGCATCTGGTTTGTCCCTAATTTAAAAAAAAGTAAAAATAAAACAAACATAAACAGAATAAAACAAGAGTAACAAAAAAACAAAACAAAATAAAACAAAAACAAAAAGATAAAGCAAACGCAGACTAAATAAAACAAAAACAAACAGAGAGAGCGAGAGACAGAGACAGACAGAGACACAGCCAGGCGGAGACTAAGAAGCCGATGTACACACAAAGAGGAGACAAAGAAAAAGGAGATGCATATAATAAACAAAAAGAGACAGAAAAAACTATAAAGAAAAACAAAAGAAATAGAAATGAAATAAAAACAAATATATACAAACATAGAGGACAGAGAAAGAACAAGAAAAGATGAAAAAAGAAGAAAAAAAAAAAAAAAAAAAAAAAAAAAA